CCCGTAGACTCAATATCTTTATGAAACCTACCTGACAGGTTACCCGTAGACTCAATATCTTTATGAAACCTACCTGACAGGTTACCCGTAGACTCAGTGTCTTTATGAAACCTACCTGACAGGTTACCCGTAGATTCAATATCTTTATGAAACCTACCTGACAGGTTACCCGTGATTCAATATCTTTATGAAACCTACCTGACAGGTTACCCGTAGACTCAGTGTCTTTGAAAACGCTATTTATAGAATGTAATCTCAACTCACCATGACATTCACTGGTTTCTTTGTCATGTTTCGTCAACAATACTTTTCTCCTATAAAGAACAAAAATGAGTCATGATTCTATTTGAATATAACAAAGAGGACAATATTGAGAACATATTATTAATTCTCTAAATCTGAAAAATCTTAAGCTAGTGAAAATATCATTTAATGATTAACTATTTATAGTATAAACTATTCTAACACTTGTAATGTCTGCCGTTACTTGCATTGATTAAAAATTTACATTTGTGTATAGTATTATAAAATCAATATATGAAGCTGCCTGTAACATTTATTACTGCCTTGTTTCAAGTTGAAATTCAACCTTATTCACAGATTTCCTTCAGCGGTAAGTCCAAGGGCTAGAATCTGGTTTTGATACTCGTGGTGAGCACAGCACAGATAGCCTATTCTGTAGCTTTGTGCTTAACAATAAACCAGTTCTGAATTTTTTACTATTATTTCCATACAAATTACTGTACACCCGCAATAAAATAAATAATAGCTAAATAAGTCACCAAAATTGGAAATATAGGAGTAAGGAAACTAATGAATCGAAAAAGTGAATTCGTCATCCTGGCGGGCGCGGGTTGGCCCTGGGGTAGAGTTTTTGGTAGGATTCAAATCCGTGCAATACTACAAATATCCACTGCACTTTAAGTGTGGGTGTGTTATGAAAGTTACAGTCAAACCCTTATCTGTGCTGGTGGGTGCTGGTCAAGAGCTCAAAAGTAGGGACGATGGCAGGAGTTTTACCATAAATATAAAATACAAATAACTTCCCAAGCATTTTGCAAACGAAAAAAAAAAAGAAATATTGAAAGAAAGAAATAAAACAACAAATTTTAGCTTCCTGAAAAAGATACTTGTAGTTGTTGCTGGAGACTTCCTGAAATGGATACTTGTAGTTGTTGCTGGAGTCTTCCTGAAGTGGATACTTGAAGTTGTTACTAGAGAAGCTTTTCGTTAATGCAATGGTATGGCCAAAATTTGACATAACTGTATTATGCTCAGCCTAGAACTGATATCTACACTCAAGACACTTAAAGAGCGCCATCTATTAACTAATTCTAAAACACAATAATTAGGTCAATCTTCTTAATGTAGAAAATAATATAGTTTCATACATACTTTTCTTCCAGCACGGCCCATTTCAACTTAATGGCAGATCTTGGGGAACATTTTCTGTTTGATGACGAATTACACTGAGAACATCCATTAATATATTCACACACTCTCAACTGCTCTGTATCAAATAAACAAGTTTCTTCTGCTTCTGCAAGTAAAAACAATCAAGACATTAAAATATTTCGTGTACATTTGTTAAAAATATTTATTTATTCATGCTAGATTATGGATTTTGTTACTGCAACCTTTATACAGTATATTGCCGACTGAATATTTTAAAACTGGATTCTATAAAGATTACAAAAATTATTATTAATCTGATGAGTTACTTCATTTAAGGAAATTTTACTTAATGACCACTACAGTAGGTAATAGTTTCTCTATATAAATACATACAACATCATTGGTAGTGCAGAAATGCTCAAAACCTAATTTTACCCTGGTAGTACACACCTTCACAGACAAACTGTTGGTTACAAAACACGTACTGATTGTTTATTATAAAATGGTTTCAATAAGGTGAAATAATAACTGACTACAAACAGCTATCTTAGTTATTATATTTAATACATTCAAGTCTTTAATAACTGAGTACAAACAACTATCTTAGTTATTATATTCAATACATTCAAGTCTTTAATAACTGAGTACAAACAACTATCTTAGTTATTATACTTAATACATTCAAGTCTTTAATAACTGAGTACAAACAACTATCTTAGTTATTATATTCAATACATTCAAGTCTTTAATAACTGAGTACAAACAACTATCTTAGTTATTATATTTAATACATTCAAGTCTTTAATAACTGAGTACAAACAACTATCTTAGTTATTATATTCAATACATTCAAGTCTTTAATAACTGGGTACAAACAACTATCTTAGTTGTTATATTTAATACATTCAAGTCTTTAATAACTGAGTACAAACAACTATCTTAGTTATTATATTCAATACATTCAAGTCTTTAATAACTGAGTACAAACAACTATCTTAGTTATTATATTAATACATTCAAGTCTTTAATAACTGAGTACAAACAACTATCTTAGTTATTATATTTAATACATTCAAGTCTTTAATAACTGAGTACAAACAACTATCTTAGTTATTATATTTAATACATTCAAGTCTTTAATAACTGAGTACAAATAACTATCTTAGTTATTATATTTAAT